TTAGCCCAGTGCAATTGGGCTCAAACTTTGCACAATTGTTCCTTCATTGTACCCCCCTCCCCTTGTACATCTCTCCCACCACTGCACCCCTCTTTGCACATCTGTCCCTGCACTATACCTCCCTTGCACATCTGCTCTCCACTGTAACGTGCCTTGCACATCTGTCCCACTACTGTACCCCCCCAACTTGTAAATCCTTCTCACCTTTGTACCCCTCTCGCACATCTGTCCAACTGCTGTACCCCCTTGCACATCTGTCCCTCTATTGTACCTCCCATTTGCACATCTGTTCTACTGTACCCCTCCTGGCACATCTGTCCCATCACTCTACCCTCTTGCACATCTGTCCCTTCACTTTACTGTACTCCCTTGCACATCTGTCCCTCCACTGTACTGTACCCCCTTGCAAACCTGTTATACAGTGTAGGCCCCTAGACATTGGTTCCACTACTGCACTTGCTTATACTCAAGTGCAGGTGAGATTTCATGGCTGCATGCAGTCAGGCGGGTGGAACTGGATGACACAAGTTGCCTTCAGGATGATGAGCTTTAGACTTTTCCTGTCCTGCAGCACGCCCCTTGCTTACGTAGAGCTGTGTGCAGAGAATGCCTCCACCACCTGATTGGCTATTGGCTTTGACAGCTTCCAGGTAGGAGAGTTCAAGTGGTTAAGACTAGGTTCGAAATCTGCCTGAGAATTAAATAAAAAATGACAGGCAGCTACAGCCATGTGCCACTGGGAAAGACTCAAGATGCCACTGTTGGAACCCATTCTAGGGGTTGTTGACCCCTGATCTAGCTTTAAAATTGCCATTTAAAGTAATGGGAAGAAAGTTCAATGTTAACAAGTATTCTTTTACTTAAAGAGTAGTAGAGTTAGAAGGGGAAATATGTGAATGGGGAGGAGGGGGACAGAATCACTGTACAATTTGGGCTGTTTTTCTGCCTATGTGTTTTAGGCAGTAGGCTTCTAATAGAAAAGCAATGTCCAAGTGCTACCTCACATAATAACAAGAAATATAACAAACCAATTTCAAATATAAAAATGTGATAAGTACATAGCTGCTAATGTTATTGTGTACCACCTGACCACAGCTGAACACACAAAATAAAATATATATATATATATATACACTGTGTATATATTTGTGCAAAACTGTATGCACAATATAGATCAAAATGATAATAAAACTAGATCAAAATCTGTTAAATATCTAGTGAAATTTTTTCTTTGGTTTTGGTTCACAAATTTCACTGGTAGCTTGTGATAACAGGATAAATAGAGAGGTGAATCTCTTTGTTGAGACCATAGACAGCAATAAATACTTGACAGGTGTTCTAGTATGTCCCCAATCTGTTCTAAAAATGGTTTGCCTTTAGTTATACTCTAATACACTGCTCAAAAAAAATTAAAGGAACACTTTAAAAACGCATCAAATCTCAATGGGGAAAAAATATCATGCTGGATATCTATACTGATATAGACTGGGTAATGTGTTAGGAACGTAAGGATGCCCCTTCGTTTGATGGAAATGAAAATTATCAACCTACAAATGATGCAGCAGGCTAATCCATTTTGCTGAAATTTAATTGCAGCAACTTAAAATGGTACTCAGTAGTTTGTATGGTGTCCTGGGGTATTTCCTCCCAGGTCTGGACTAGGGTATCATTGAGCTCCTGGACAGTCTGGGTTGCAACCTGGCAGTGTCAGATGGACCGAAACATGATATCCCAGAGGTATTCTATTGGATTTAGGTTAGGTGAGTGTGGGGGCCATTCAATGGTATCAATTCCTTCATCCTCCAGGAACTGCCTGCATACTTTTTCCACATGAGACAGGGCATTGTCATGCAGCAGGAGGAACCCAGGACCCACTACACCAACATAGGGTCTGACAATGGGTCCAAGGATTTCATCCCGATACCTAATGGCAGTCAGGGTGCCATTGTCTAGCCTGTAGAGGTCTGTGTTTCCCTCCATGGATATGCCTCCCCAGACCATCACTGATCCACCATCAAAACGGTCATGCTGAACGATGTTACAGGCAGCATAACTTTCTCCACGGCTTCACCAGACCCTTTCACGTCTGTCATATGTGCTCAGGGTGAACCTGCTCTCATCTGAAAAGCATTATGGTGCCAGTGGTGGACCCGCCAATTCTGGTGTTCAATGGCAAATGCCAGTCAAGCTCTATAGTGCCGGGCAGTGAGGACAGGGCCCACTAGAGGACGTCGAGCCCTAAAGCGACCATCATGAAGTCTGTTTCTGATTGTTTGGTCAGACACCTTCACACCAGCGGCCTGTTGGAGGTCATTTTGTAGGGCTCTAGCAGTGCTCATCCTGATACTGGTCCTGCTGATGGGTTAAGGACCGCAATGCTGTGCGACAGCAATCACACCTGAAATCACACTAACATGAACCGGACCTAAGTGATACAAAGTGCACCTCCTAAGCAGTAACAAGTGATACCATGAACTCCCAAATTAAATAACTTGTTTTAAATCCAACCATTAAATATGCAAGAAGTTGCAGAAAGATACAAAATAAGTAGGGATACCTTTCACATATATATATAAAATGCAATTATCTTACAGTGATATTAAACGCTCAGTTTTTAAGAACTTTCAGCAGTTGATTTAATCACTTAATGAGTATGCAGCTATCTTTTAATGCTTGCCTGTGTTCCTGTTTAAGCTGGTGCTATGACTGCTGCCCCAGGTTTCCCATTTCAGGTTAACTCCTTTCTCTTGCAGCATCCAATGGTGCCATCCTTGCATGCAGGTGTTGGAGCTCTGTCTCCCTACACTGTGTGCATCAATAGAAACATACAGATCTGTAGGAGTCTCTAGGGTCGCATGATGTTTCCCTGCTCTTCTCTCCTTTCTTCTCCAGCTAAAAGACTGGCTGTGGACTGCACTATCTACTGTTAACTCTTTCCTGTGAAAGCCAGAAATTCAGGGAAGTAGCACTAAATGAGCAGGAGCCATCAGTATTGAAAGTTGCAAACTGCAAGTGCTGGCATAAGAATTTTAACAAATACTTTACCGGGGGGATGTTTATTTTATTACGCTCAATGTGTTAAACTAAAAAGCGCTGAGGGTTTAATATGACGCTAAGTTTATACAATGATTAATGCAGATCACACAAATCCCTTATAAGTAAAACAAATGGCAGTAACTGTACAGCAGTCATTCACAGGTGATGTAGAAAAATCCGGAATGTGTAAATTGAATAGCCAGCAAATGGAATTGCAGTTTTCAAACCAATAACAACTGTTTCACTAGGAATTGCCTAAATGTGACTTCATAGATATCTAACAAAATACAACAGGCTGTTGATCTCTGGTTTGCGCAATTTGTCAGTCAGATGCAGACCCTTGCGTTAGGTTTCTGCTGGATATAGGTTTCATTTACTGGTATCAGATGTGCAACAAACCACCTATCAGTTACATACCACAGTGCAGTATCTATGCTGAATATATTGCTTGGTGTCCTGCCTGTCACGCTGTATACAAATCATTTTGTCATTTATTTATTTCTGTTTTTCAATTTTTATACCATCCATGATGTTCTAGAACATTAGTCTCCAAACTGTGGCCTGCGGGCCGGATGTGACCCTTTGCTTGCCTTTATCTGGTCCTTGGGGCAATGTCATTCCTACTTATATGAGGCACTATTCCTCCCACTGACACCAACAGTGGGCCACTTTTCCTCTTACTTACACCAGTGATGGAGCATTATTCCTCCCACTCACGCCAACAATGGGGCACTATTCCTCCAACTACTGACCACAGGCACTATGCAATTAATTTACTCCCACTGACCAGCAAGCCTGAGATTTGTTGATTTACAAAAAGAAAATAGACTGTGCACTTTGCTAGTGCAGTTGCACTCATTTTCCCCACAGGTTAGTGAATACAGTGAAGTCTCACTTTGTAAAGAATACCCAATCAAGTGCAAGAAATATGATTGGATGATGGAAATTAGCAGAACTTCACATTTACTAAGCTCTGTGGAAAATAGGTGTCACTGTACTTACAAAGTGCACAGTCTATTTGCCTTTAGTAAATCAACCTCCATATAATGTTATAGAACAGTAGTCTCCAAATTGAAGTATCCCTTTGCTTCCTACTGATACAAGTAAGGCACTATTCCTCCCACTGACACACCCCATGAGGCACCATTCCTTCCAATGAGGCCACCTGTAGGAAACTATTGCTTCTGTTGACACCAACAACAGGACATTATTCTCTCCACTGACTCCAACAAGGAGGCACTATTCTATCAACTAACTGACATCAACAACGAGGCACTATTCCTTCCACTGACACCAAAGATGGGGCACTATTCCTTCCATTGATATCAACAATGGGGCACTATTCCTCACACTGATATAAATGATTGGGCAAGATTTCTCCCACTGACACCAACAATGCTGCACTATTCCTCATCCTAATACCAATAATGGGGCACTATTCCTCCTTCTACTGACCACAAGTGCTGTATAATCCATTTTACTCCCATTGGCCACCAAGTATGAGACATCATCCACTCCCTCTAATGCTGGGCATTCTCTATACCCACTGGCCACAGTCTGGTCCTCTAAACTCTGAAGGACAGTAAACTGGCCCTTTAGAAAGTTTAGAGATCCCTGTTCTAGAATTAATTACCAGTGTTCTACACCGCACACAGCCTTATGATAACCATCTTCTGTGTTTTTACAAAACCTGGGAAACAGATGATGTTTTTGGTGTGTTTTACCACGGCCAAGAGAAGATCACACACAGTCCTAACAGAGTTGTGTAAAACATGATATTAATGTCAAAATTAAAAGTATAGATTAAACATTTCATTGAAAACAGCAACTGTTGCAAAAAAAAAAACCATGATAAAAGAATAACTGGGCACTGTACACAGCTCTGTACTTCAAACAGTATTTGTGACAGTCATGTACTCTTCATGTACTCTCTAAATAGGTTGTCCACTCCCTGTTGGCCACCTTCAGTTCCGTTTGGGTTTGCTTTTGGGTCGTGCAGCATCTGCTGTCCCTTGTGCTTGGCTAAGATTGACCCAGGCATCCACGATCAGGGAAAATGGGATGATAATCCACAGAGCATTCATGAATACAAAGTAAAACCAGAAATAGATCGGATGCCACATCTCGCTGTGACTGAAACCTTCCCGGTATTCTGTGTAGAAATACAGGACATCTCCGTACAGCTGACCTGTGAGGACAGAGAAGGATCAAATATTTGCAGACTTATTCAGTCAATAAGTGCAGGAGCAAAGCGTTAGGTGCAAAGTGCGGTTCCTACAGAAACCAATACAATTCTAACTGGTGCTGGTCTGACATCAAATTATTTTCCTCTAGGTACTGCACTTTGACCCTTGCATTGATTACTGTAAAAAGACCACAGATGTCTGTTCCCACCCTGCTTTAATACAGGATGCCAATACGAGGCACACTGTCTGCCTCCACCAAGAAAGGCTATGACATTCTTCCATTTGTGTATGACTGTCATATGAATGGGGACTCTATAGAACACAAATACAGAGTTTTGTTTTTTTTCTAGAAATGTGTAAAAATATATTTGTGCCCCATGTTTAGATGTATACAACTGTTAGAATAGCTCTTTATAAAGCTATGCCACTGTCATATATGCCATACCCAAAGGTCTCTTAGATGTTTTTGGTACAATGCTATTTTGGCGACCCTGTCTAAATTTTGTTGGAACTTTACTTCCATGGTCTGTATGACTTTTTGAAAAATTAAAGTGGTAGTAAACTCTTTAAGAAAAAAATAAATAAAAATTTCCCATGCAAGACAAAGGCATAATGTGCTAGTATGCATTATGGACCTGCCTTAAAACGAAGCCATCCAGCAGTGCACTGTCACTGCTGCAGAGGCTTCCATTTACACCCAGTCTTCCAGGTTCACAGGCTGTGGCCACTTGAATGGCTGAGCCGTGATGACGTCACTTACGCACATGCGAGTGGGAGTCTTGGCTGCTGCCCACAGCTCTGAAGGAACAGCAGGGGTATGCCATTCCTTCACAGCGCCTACGCCGGTGATGTCACCGGCTGCTGCTCTCTAGAATATCTCCTAAATGGTGCACACTTGGGAGATATTAATTTTACCTACAGGTAAGCTTTATTATAACCTTTCATGTACAAATAAACAGCAAGAGTTTTCTACCACTTTAATAAAACTGTTGAACCAGATAAGCTCTTTATGAAACTTTGCATTTTGCAGTTCAATCACCACATACATATGAAAAGCTATTGCTGGGCACACTGAAGCAATCAGTATATGCTTACTATAGTTGTGCACAAGTTGCTGTATCTTATAGCAATCCTAAGCCAGCCATACTTGGATTGAAATTCAGCTGGTTCAGCAGCGACCAACTGAGATTCATCCATGTATGGGCAGGCTGACTGTACCCAAGTTGACTTGGGTACAACCAGCTTATTGTATTTTTTACATAAGATTACTGCTATGGCTGCTAGCAGTAATCATTGTCTTTTGCCAGCACGGAAGGTTCCTTGTGCCCTCCCTTCCTCCCCCGCCAGAAGAACACAATAGCATTGCGGGAGGTATTCCCCCATCAACACAGAGAAAAAAAGAAAATCGCGTCATCTATTGGCTGCTTTAGTGACAACTGAAGACATTTCCCTACACTTCCTATCCAAACGTCACAGTGGGGTTGATTTACTAAAACCGAAGAGGGCAAAATCTGGTGCAGCTGTGCATGGTAGCCAATATTGTTTAATTAAGCTTTGACAAAAAAAAACCTGAAAGCTGGTTGGTTTCTATGCAGAGCAGCAACAGATTTTGCACTTTTTAGTTTTAGTAAAAACAACCCACTTGTATGTCAAAGTGGCCATGCGGGATCTCCTGCATGGTAGGGGTTGGGGAAAGACCTAGTAACCTACCCTGTAAAATATTGCTAAGAGAATTCATGGAAAAAGTTGCTTATGAGTGACAGTCCATGCAATCGCCAAGGGTGGGATACGACTGAATAGATAGACAGATAGATAGATAGACAGATAGATAGATAGATAGATAGATAGCTGTGTCTTCAATTATTCACAAATTCTCATCAGCTTCAGCACTCACCAGAAATGTCAGATTCACATTATTGAAGGTCTATAAATGATTGTGTTACAACCTCCTGATCACAGCTCTTCTGTGTATTTGTCCTTTAAACACATAGGGCCTTAAATGTGAGTACCACCCGATACAGTAATTGTAGCCTGCCATAGACATTGTAGGCAGTGGGGCTGGATGCTGCACCTGTCCCTCCTGGGCACACTAAAATGCTGGAAGGAAACACACAGCAGCTTGACACCCCCTTGTGTACAAGGGCCCTAAACAGAATTACAACTGCAAATCACCCAGGACTTTCCACCTTTCTCCAGTATATCGGGCAGGAATGTGATATACAGTCACAGAGGTTAAAACAAACATAAAGTCAACACAATAGAACTCTGATTTATTTAAAACTAAGTAAAATCAATTGCAAATGCCAGTTCTAGCATGACTGCCATGTTCAATCCAATAACTTCATCAGAGACATTTGATTTAATCCTATGATTGTGTGTCAGGTTCCTTCCCAATATATTGGAGGACAGGTAGAAAGTCACAGGTGATTTGAAGCTGTAATCCTGTTTTAACTACGGCTGTGATGCTCAGGAATGATCAAAGAGCTAGGAGGAGGAATAACACAGTGCAATTTCTGTTGACACAAGCGATTACCTGGAGAATTGATGATCAGGAGACAATAATACAAGCATTTATAGACCTTCAGAAACAAGAGTCTGACCTTTCTGGTGGGTGCTAAAGCTGATAAGCGTTTCTGTGTAATTGAAATCACGGCTGTTGGGAGTACTATTATTGTGCAGTGGTCATAAAGTCAGGAGGTGTGTGGGAATTTCCTGATATGGAAATAGGAGACAAGGCAGCAAAACTTTAAAATGCAGAAAACAGGCTTTATTAGTTCAATCCATGCAGATTGAAAGACAAAAAAAACACACACAGCTCCAGGACAGTCAGTAAACGTGCTTAATCATCAGCACTGACGCGTTTACTTGCTGTCCTGGAGCTGTGTGTGTTATTTGTCTTTTGTATCTGCATTAATTGAACTACAAAGAAGCCTGTTTTCTGCATCTTGGAGTGCTGCTGCCTTGTCTGCTATTTCCACTGATTGTGTCTGTGGTGTCGGCACCCAGGTGCCTCCAGGGACTTTGGATTTCTGCGGGCTAGCTTTGGAGCAATGTGTACCCTGTGTATCTTGTCTCTTAATTAACCTATATGGACACAGACAGCAATATAGATTTGACAGAGGTTCTAACACTTTCCAGCTCTAGGTAAAACTAAAGAAAAAAAAAAGTTTTGAGTAATTGGCTGTCATCACAACACAAATTTTCACTGCTCAACGCTCAGTCCCAATGTCTATCTCCCCCCTCACCAAGTGACACGATGAGTTGCAGCACGAAACGGTACGGCTTATTCTGCAAGAAGGAGATGACAGTCCAAACGCTGAGCGGACCCCAGGCCCAGGCGGTGACGGTTTCCATGCAAACAGTGAAATTATCAGCTCTGTGGGATTTATAAAAAGAAATAAGAGATTATAGAAAAGAGCAACAAGACAAGTTGATATCTGACAATTGTAATGAGCAGATATACACCTGAGATAAAGTTCTGATACTAAGGAGAAATATTTTCTTACACAGAAATCCTGTTTATAAGGTAACGCAAATGTGTTCCAAGTCAGTGGCTCCCTAAGATGTGAAGTAGAAAGACCATCATGATGGTCATGAAACTATGAATATCTGAAAATGGTCAACAATGGTAGTGACCATTTTTTGTAACTATCAGTTCCCTTTCAGCATACAGATTCTACTATGACAGGATTCCACCAGGTATTTTATCATCTGCTCACATGGCTTGTCTATGTCTACATATACACTGATGACATTGTTGTTCCAGAATATCTACTTAGAGATTTGAAGGCCTCTGATTACAAGACCCTGGTTCAGATGCAGAAGGTCCATGATATTTATGACATCAACTCTTGTGGGTTCTGTTCAGCATTTGGGGTGATCATTTTTAGTATTCAGTCCATGCTATAGTGATTTCCTGGGTGAGTGTGCAGACCTGCTGTGGCCATTATGGTTTTCAGGTTTCATTTATTTTAAGTATCTGCTTTCCCCCATCATTCTGTATTCATGAGGTGGGGCCTGTTCTTGTATTTTATTGAAGACTTCATAAAATACATAAATGTCAGGGCTACACTTAATGTTTGGGCCTTCTGAGTGATTTGCTCCTAAGCTTAAATCAGGATTTGAGTAAATATTCAAAGGTGGCACCTCTTGATACTCACATAATGTATCTGCTGTCTCCTTTGCCATATTCCTTCCCTAAAATGAGATACAACAGAAAGATAAATGACAAGCATAGAAGACATTGTACAAGAAAATACATAGACTGTTAGCTTGATGTTCTGTTGTAATACTGATCTAAAAAATATAATGCTATCTAACTTACTGACCAGATAGCATACAGATCAAAAGGTCTGATTTCATTAGCTGGCTGCTTGTTCTTGACTCAGAAAGCATTAAAGTGGATCTAAAAGGTAAAACTTTTTTTCAATGTGAGTAAAGAAAACAAGGCTTTTAACCTCTCATTTTTTTGCCATCTGCATTCCATTGGGAGATTTCCCTTCACTTCCTATTCCAGGTAGGGACAGGAAATCCCTCCAAGGCAAGGGAATCCATCAATGTCACCAGAACTAGTGTCTCCATTTGAATATTTCCCCTCTATTCCATTTCTGGTGACAGCCCAAAATTTGGGGGATTCCTTCACTTTCACTCTTGGTGATAATGATAGACAGGACCAATAGAGCAACAGAGATGGTGAAGCTTCCCAACGTGGGCACAGACAGCAATAACAAATATTACATGTGTTCAGACAATCTAAAAAAGAAAAAAAAAAAGTTATGTCTTTAGTTATACTTAATTGCATTGTGAGAAAGAGTGTAGCCTCTTCTTTTAGGCCTTCTGTAAAGTGGAGGTAAAAAAAAAAAGTGTTCTTGTATTTAGCAACCAAGTAAATGCTCTGCTTATCTTTACTATGTTGCACTAGAAAAGCTAGAGCCGGAATCTGATAAACATAGATGTCCTTTGGATGGTATGCAAAGTCCAAAACAAAGTCTACCATGTTTCTAAGATAGAGGCTGATATGGACAAGGCTGAAGGGGGGGTATTTATAAAAATTACAGACTGAAAACTGGGCAGTCTTGGCACTTCCCAAAAAATGTTGCTGATTTTAAAAAATTGTAAAGTATGCACAATTCCTAAATGTGTTTCGGTTAAAAATGTTGAGGTCGTCTTACCTGTAAATTGGATTTCCAGAAATCTTTAGGACAGCACATAAGTCATTCTATCTCATGGGATGTCCTGAAAGATGACTGGGTACAAAAAAAAGTAATTCAAAAGGTCAGAGACTGCCTCCTTTGCAACCTAAAGAAATTGTGTAAACACCCCCACAGTTGTTTTTAAATCGGACACTTTCATAAATAAGGATCTAGTGTCTATGAAGAGCCCCTCTCACATCTGTAAATCCCATTACACCATATACATTGACCTGCATTTATCTGTATAGATTGATGCAGGCTCAATGCCAGAACATATAGAAAAACATCTGTGTTTTATGCACACTGTTTACACCACAAGGCTACACTGAGGTGGGTGGTGTGTACCCCTTCTCACCGCTACACAATGGACATCAGCCTGCCTACTGAAAAAACCCACGTGCATATTAAGCATATTCCTGGATCTGCATGAGTCCCCACCATCACCCCCCGACTATTTAAAGACTATACAAAGCCAAAAAGTTTTTGTCACATTTTGAAAACAGTAGGAAAGGGTTATAATCCTTTTTTTTTTTGCTTTCTATGATCTATTGGAGAAATAGATGTCCCTTGGTTTCCTGTTGCAAAAACACGAAAGGTAATGAGAGGAAATCCCTCTAACAGAAGAGTAAATCCCCTCTTAATCTCGGCCAGTTCAGCAGGAACAGACCGGGATTTGATCCACCTATGGGCAGGTTGAAGTTGTTCTATTGATTGACTTGGGTACAACCAGTCTGTCTGATTTTCAGCATGCAATTACTGCCCACGGCTATAGCCGCTAGCAGTAATCATTGTGTTCTCTTGGCCAGGAAGGCTCCCTGTGCCCCCCCTCTCCCGCCAGTCAGTGTTGATGGGGGAATCGGATGATTATTTTTCCTTCCACAAAATCGATTCATCTATGACCTGCCTTAGACAGCTGACACTTGAACAGGTGTCCCCATTGGATATTTACCCTCAGTGACAACTGCAAAATGTTGACCTTCTCATCACTGACAATGGTTACCAAGACAAACTGAGTGGGGAATTTTCCCAGCGGCGACACAGACCATGATAAAGACCTAACAGGAGTCCAAACACTTCCCTACTCTATCCAAGAAAAAAAATGCCTTTAGATGCAGTTTAAATCCTCTTATTCCACTTACACAGCTGTGACAGGAAAGACTGGTCCCTTGGAATGATGTTGTAGTAGAGAGAGAACCAGCCTTCAATGACACCATGAATGAAACCACAGATCATGAACCAGCAGAGGATGAGACGACGAACAGCGCTGATCCCAGCAACCCGGCCAGCCAAGAACCAGGTCCCAACCAGAAACACCCCAGATACTGAGAACAGGAAGGTCAAAATCTCCCACATGACACGATCATTGGGTTGGTAACCCTCGATGTGCAGATCACGAGGCCAGTAAGGGTGAGGAGTGGGTGCCACTGCTTCTGGTGCCATGTTGCTTTTTCTGTGGAAGAGAGATTAAAAGGTCAGTAGTGAACTCACAAAGGAAATAAGAACTGCTGATGTGTACCCCAGCTACCAATACCACTTCACTTTAGCCTACCATATGCTGAGACAGCAAGAGTCTGATTGGCTGGTCTGGGCAGCATAGAAAACTCTTGTTCAAAGTCAGAGCATCACAAAGTATTGAAGTCATTGGAAACCACGAAAGCCTGTGAACTGGCTAAAAGAGGACATACAGCCTATGTCTGGAGGGAATTTCTTTTGCTTTTTATTGGGTGTTTTAGATGTTTTCAATAGGTTGGGGTTTAGGGATGGTTTATATATATATGTCAGTAAAACGTATATGCTGTTGGCTTCAAGCATGTGTAAGCATAAGGCCACCTTGGCACACCGTAACTCTACTTACATTCACTGCATTACATAATACTTCTTTTGGCCCTTCAAAGTCATTACGTCTGGGCACACCTTTTGCTCTGTTGGTGCTAGAGCACTGTTTTTATTTTTAATTTTTTTTAATGTGCAATTGATAGCCCCTGCGTGGGCGTGTTTTGTTGCTCCTGTCTTAAACTGTTTATAAATTAATAAAAACATTAAAATACAAAGTGATTACATCATGCATGAAACTTGATCAAAGCATTGTAGTGAAAATGAATTTAAAAAAAATAGCTTTTTGCTTTGGACATCCATATGGCCTTCTCAGAGCAATAGCAGTAGTAAAGCAACAATCTTTGAATCTGGTGTTTCTTTGAACCTTTGTCACATGACCCGGGGCGTGATGTCAATGAGGCAAAATCACGTGGCACTCAATGGGGGGCAGCACAGAGGTTGGGTGGTCCATACTGGGCACTCTACTCTCCTGCAGATCATGTACACAATATGATGTTATGGAGCTTTTTTTTAGGACGCTGGCACTGCCTTGCACCGTAACAGCCAAAGATGCTGTGCAACCTAGCTGCCAGCATCCAATGGTACACAGTTGTACAATGTCTTTGGTTACCATGTCTTTGGTTCTAGCAACCTGGGGGCAGCAAAAATGGCTGCATGGGGTGGCAAAAATGTGGAAGGGGCACCTGGCGTGTCCATGGGACTCCGAATATTTAGATCACCAGAAACATTCAATAGCCAGTATGATCTCCAGCAGCATCCTCATTACCGTGCCTAGCATGGCTCCCAAGAAGCAGAAACAACAGCAATTCACCTAGGCACGCTCCTGGACATGGTGAATTCTATACCCTGGTTTCAATCCAGCACTTCTAAAGCATGCTGTTGGCTGCAGTTTAGATGTGGCTTTCAGCAAGTACCCCTTCCACAGGAATGAATGGCAATACTCTTACTATGTGTCCACCCCACAACATGCAAAGATGAAAATCAGAAAGAAACCGCTCTATAAATTGTCAGATCATTAAATATCATATATATATATATATATATATATATATGTGTAGGTGTTCCATTTCCATGTGGAAGAGTGAATGGGTCCTTAGAGTTAGATGTCCAAATGCATTGCAAGAAGCCACATAGAGTCAGGAGTCCTCTGCACAACACTGCCATTGAATGTTCTATCACAGAGACAGGACATGTTCCCCAGGAAGGAAATGATAGGATATTATATATAAATGAAAGGCTGAACAAGCAGACTTACTTCTGTCCTGCTGATTGTTTCGTCTCCAGCCAATCCAGCACTTCTCTATAACCTGCATCCTCCTGCATAGAGTATACCACTTCCCACGCCTACTGTCACTCTTCCTCCAATCCTATCACGGGCCTGTCATTTGCCATCCAATCACAAACGGTGCATTTCAAGCACACCTTGTCGACCCATTGAAAACGCCGGCACCCCCTGCCTTATTGGTCTAAACGAAGGGGGCGGTCACTACCGCGGTCTATGAACCTCGCAAGACGCTCGTTCCACGCTATCGGGTTGGTCGAAGAGTGCGGAAAGAAGTCGGACCGGGCTGTGATTGGCTGTATTCTGCAGCTGGTATGGCGCTGGCTACTCCCTGTATCACCATGGCAGTGGAGCAATACAGATTGTGCAGGGAAAAGTCTGTCCCCTAGCCATAGGCGGCCATTGTATCGGTTAGAAGGTATAGGCAAGGTTTGTAAGGAGACATTTGCATGTGTACAGCTTGTGTTTATATTTCACCCGACTGCCCACTCACCACCAAAAGAATGGAGCAGGTCAGGGTAGCTAGGGGTGTTTCAATGTCGATTGGATGTAAGAAGTCTCATTCCTCCTGCTGCATTCTCCTCCATCATGTAATAGACACTGATCAGCCATAACTATGACCCACTGACAGGTGGCAGAGAAAAATGGGTGTCACAGTTTATTGTGTATGGGGATGTGTAGCTGATGAGTGGTCAGGGTGCCCATGCTGACCTGTGTTCCCAGACAAAAGTGGCTAGAATGGGCATGAGTATGAGAAGTTGGAGCAATGGAAGAAGGTGGCCTGGTCTGATGAGTCACGTTGTCACTTATATCATGTGGATGGCCGGGAACGTTTTGTGTGTCACCTGGGGAAGGGATGGCACTAGGATGCAGTATGGGACGAAGGCAGTGTGATGCTTTGGGCAATGTTCTGCTGGGAGACCTCAGTCTTACCATTTATGTGGATGTTACTTTAACCCATACTGCTTACCAGGGGCGGACTGACAACTCATGGGGCCCCTGGGCCCAAACTCAAAAAAGCCTATAAAAAAAGGTACTAGGGGCATCTCATGGGGCCCCCTACTGACCCCGGGCCCTCGGGCAGTGCCCGAGTTTCCAAATGGTCAGTCCACCCCTGCCGCTTACCTAAACTTTGTTGGTGGCAAAGTACACCCCTTCATGGAAACAATATTCCCTGATGGCAGTGGCCTCTTTCAGCAGAATAATGCACCCTGCCACGCTGTAAACATGGTTTGAAGAACACAAAAATTTGGAGGTGTTGACTTGGCCTCCAAGTTCTCCAGATCTCAATCCAATTGAGCACCTGTGGGATGTGCTGGAAAAACAAGTCCGATCCATGGAGGCCCCACCTCACAACCTACAGGATTTAAAGTGTTCATGGGTGGAGGGATGGGGAGGGACACTTTTTAAAAATTATTATTTTATTTACTTTTTTGCACTGTCTCCTCCTGGGATATGTGACATGCATGGCAGGCCTAGGCGAAATACGTACATTAGGGGATTGAACAGACCTTCTTTGACAAGAAATAAGGTAAATAAACAAAAAAAAGGTGCATTGTTTGTGTAAAGGAGGGCTGGAGAGGAGGGAACTTAGTGTTACTAAACCTATAACCCTGCATTAACTATATCGGGTCTCCCTGTACACAGAATATGGAAGTGCAATTATTTTAGTAAATATAAACGGCTAAATACCTTTTCTCATCAGAAGTTTAGAGCAGTCTTGTGACTTCTATCAGTGTCCAGCAGAGCACATGGTAAAGCTTGTAGGAGGAGTTTTCTTTCTGCTCTAGGAGTATGCAGAACCCCTGACCTCTGCCTAGACAATGTTGATTGGCCCTGTGCTGATCACATGCACTCTCCCACAAAAAAAGCAAACTGAGCATGGACAGAGTGACTCCACGTGATATGTCTTATCAAGAGATAAGAGAAGGGCACTGGAAGAAGGGGAGGGTCAGAGAGGACAGGATATAACAGCCTTTTAACACAATGCAGAGGTTTAACCCCTTAGATTCCATAGTGAGTGTAGCAAGCATGTTTTACTGCATATACTCTCTCTGGTCATCTGTACTATGTCTGCAGTCTCTGGTCATCTCCTGTACTGATTTTACTGTTTTGCGTTTAATAACACTTTAAGGGATCTGCCTACAGATTGCTTGGTGCCAGATGCCACAGCATACCCTCAAAGGCCTAGTGGAGCCCATTCCGCAATGGGTCACGGCTGTATTGGCAGAAAAAAGGGGGGCCTGCTTAGAGCAGACCTTCATCCTCATTGTTAAAGTGTTTACTAAACCTACCTTCTTCTACTGTCCTCAATCCATCTGCTGATAGAACAGAACCTTGGGGGCAAGTCTGCACATGATCAGTTTGGTGTGTATTGCTAGAGAGGTTTTTTTTTTTTATCTTGGTGGAGTGCATGTGATCAGTACTTTTTTTTTTTTTTTTTTGTGAAGTGTTCTTTTTCGTCGTGTGGATTTTTGTTCTAGTGTTTTTTTGTCTCTTTCCGTTTATTTTGGGCCAATCAGAGGGTTAAGGGTAACACGGCCTCAAAGGACAAGCAGGGGGGATTGAAAACTCCTCCTACAAGCTTTAAACAGTGCTCTGCTGGACACTGAGAGAAGTTACAAGACTGCTCTAACTGCTGATGAGAAAAGGTATTTAGCAGTTTATATTTACTAAAATAATTGCACTTCCATGTTGTGTGTACTGTGGGAGACCAGAGAGAGTGAATGCAGAGTCCTGGGTTTAGGAACACTTTAAGTTCCCTCCTCTCCAGCCCTCCTTCCCTTCTTTACACGAACAATGCACCTTTTTTATTTACCTTATTTCTTGTCAAAGAAGGTCTGTCCAACCCCCTAATGTACATAATTCACCTAGGCCTGCCATGCATGTCACACATCCCAGGAGGAGGGGGCGGGCCCAGTAGCGTGTCATCACGAGGCCCGTCGCTTAAAGCTGGAAGAGCCGTGCAGGGGCAGAATTCTGAGAGGATTCTGTGGAAAGCCACTGGATCGCTGGGCAGGTATCTGAAATGGTTACAACTTGCATCAACGTAAGCAAGTGTTTATAAAAAAAAATTTGAGGGGGAAGAGATCCACTTTAGAGAGTATCTTCATTTGGTTTGAAACAAATGAAAAGTCAGTGGCTAGAAATACTGCAGCCAGTGGCGTCCCGAGGCAGGTGCGGGGAGTGTGGCCGGGTGACACCGACCACATGGGGTGACACCGGACCTGCTCCGTGAAAAGGTAAGTTGTAAAGCGTGCCGACGATTCCTGCAGGATGGATCAGATCTGCAGATTCAGCATATTGGATCGGAGTCCGATCCATTATGCTCAATCCTCAGATCTGATCCATTCTGCGGGGATCATTGGAGGGGGTGTCACCAAGTGTTACCGCACTGGTTGACACCAACCCTAGGGACGCCTCTGACTGCAGCTGCTGATTTTTAAAAAAGGACACTCATCTGTCTAGGGGTCCAGCGCTGTCCTCCCCCCCAAACCGACTATTTGCTGTCTTCGTTTTCCCCGGCACAGACATGTGAGACGCTGGTGGCGATTCCTCGCGGCTTCACAGCCGGCTGCCCTTTGAGCATGCCTAAGCTGTGCTGCGCTTAGTGAGTGGTCCTGCAGTCTTCGGGGACCAGTGATGTGGCCCATGAGCTCGAGGAAGGGGGATAAACTTTCAGTGGATTAGTGCACCGATCCGAACAGAAATGGGGGTGGGTACCTGTCAGAACCTGGTACCTGCTATCACCCAAAATAGAAGCGGGGGGGGAGGGATATAAAGCAGAATTTCCCCTATAGGGTGAAGTTCCGCTTTAATAATGAATGGGTGGTTATATAGTTATGGAAGATTTTTGGAAGCAAGTACACTGTACCCACGTGAGATAACAAAATGTGACGTCAGATGGCAGCAGATTCCATGGAGATGGAGGGAATACTGAACCCTTTGTAGAAGTTGAACCAGTGTCTACCTGCAATAGCAAATGGGGACACTAGATGGCGGCAGCATCTAATTCCGAACTAAGAATACAGACGGGTTATACTGACCGCATGGAGATCATGTGATTCTCTGAACGGTGACCCACAATGCATTCCGAGTGAAGCAGTGCTGTCCACTATACAAGCTGCAACAGGCATTCTCTGCACATGTCTGTTCTGTTCAGCGCTGTGTCTCCCTGCTAATCCCACCCCTTTCTACTCCCATTGGCCAGTGTTCCTGGCAATCACCAAAAACTTCATAGTCCGGGGCTTTGGGATGCTCCTCCACTCTGATTGGTCTAGCTGTGCAATTCCTGCTCTCTGATTAGCCGGCCATTACAGCTCTGCTCAGTGGCATGTAAGGTTGTTCATTTGATTGGTCTGTCTGCCTCTGTCCTACTCTGGTATTGGACAGGCATAGCCCTGCTTGGATTGGGTTATGAGATTTAGTCCTGGTTGGTGATTGGTGCATTTTTCCTCTAGTCTCCTCTCATTTGTTAAGACCAGTCACTATTGGTGAAAGCATCCCCCTTTTCCTGGGGACAGAATGAGGGAAGGGATGGAATAGAGCAGAGCTGGAGCTGCTGCTGGGTAACATAGCTGTGCCTTTCCTTGTGATAATGTTATGTCTTCATATGGATATACATGCCTTCTTATACAGTGAATGATGGAATGTGTGTTTGCTGCCTGCAGGTTGTGACCGCTGAACCCCCATTTTCCCAGGACCAAACATGGCCGCCTTCAGCCGCAGGGAGTTCTATGAGCAACTGCTCCATGGCTGCGTTATTCCCACCGCTCTGCAAGGATTGGATCAGATCTGGGTGCTGCTTCTCATGTGCCTGGGCTGCAGGGTGCTCTGGAGGCTGGGTGAGACCCTCTATGTACAGCTTGGGGTGACCTGGATGTAATGGGCGACATTCACCAAAATGCAGATCTAAGAACTGTCAGGGCTGCACAGGACCATCTGTCATTTGCAGATTTTTAGTGTAGGCTACAATGTGAAAAGGGTCCAGCTGATTGGTGGCTTCAAGCAACACAGATTTCTCATTTCAGGAAATTTGGTAAACAAGGCCCAGTGATCAGTAAACATCACATATAAGATCTGATTAAAAAAAAAGTTTGTATGGCATTAAAGGAGACTGTCAGGGAAGAAATATAGGCTACTGTTGCTGGCCTGTGTGAAAGTGCTAGTTGCCTGGCTGTCATGCTGATAATCTGGCTTTTATACTTTCTTAGGATGTCGCATTTCTGACTTCAGTGTTTGCTTGCTTGATCTAGATCTCAGAGAGTATTACAGCCAGGCAGCCAGCATGTTGTGAAGGACGTTAGCAATGGCAGTCTTTGTATTTCTCTCATGACAGATTCTCTTTAGGAGATTGCTTATGCTTTGCAAATGGCGGTGATCGGGAGTACAGTGGATTTTCTTTGCAGAGTGTGTTTGTATGCTTTGTATAAAACCAACTTTTATTGTTCTCCATCCCTGCAGGCCTCCCATCCCACATCAAGCACCTGTTCACAATCGCCGGTGGTTTCTTCTGCCTCTATCATTTCTTCCGCCTGCAGATGATCTGGGTGGTCCTCATGAGCCTGCTGTGTTACCTGGTCCTGTTTCTGTGCCGACACTCTCAGCATCGGGGGGTCCTTCTCTCCATCACCGTCCTGATCTACCTCCTCATGGGGTGAGAATCCAGTGCTCTAAAATCAGCAAGCCTAAATCAACCACAGTAGCCAATCAGAATTTGTTTTACTGGTATCACCAAAACCGAAAACTGATTGGCTGCAAAGTGTTCTTGCAATTATCACATAGTCTTTTCTTTATTTAGGGGAGGTCACAAGTGCAATGTTAGCATATACATTTTCACATCGTGATCTGTAACATTCAGGAAGCATACAGGTTTAAGGGCCTTCACTCCAGGCTATTGTGGAAATGCACATCAAAGTGTCCATAAGCACACATCATAAAAAAACTATCAATAAATGCTGTATTACATGCTGTTCATACTCACTCATTCACTGCGGGATTCGTTTTCTGTATTCTGCAAACACCTGGTTGATCCTGCTGTTCTCTATCCCATTCTGTCTATTCTCCCAGTGCAGTTGGAGATGTTGCAGAGCAGTGTTGGCAGCTTTGCACATGCTCATTTTTCAGTGAGTTTTTATGCTGAGCATTTCCTCCCTATCACATCTGAGCAGCTCATGTGACTTTAGAGTCACACATGTGGACATATACACAGTGGTAAATGACAGCCCGCTTCCTCCCTTCTCCTCCATGCTCACTAACCAGTGAAAGATGGAATATTACATCTTGATAGATGAAGGCTTTACCTCCCTGTTATTCTAATACACAGGTTGGAGGTGCGTGACATAGCCTGTGGGGAAACAAAGAAATACAGCGCCTCTAAGTGTGTACTGTGAAGGTATTTAATAGAAAGATCAGTAGTAACTTACATCTTAGAATTTAAAAACAGGCTCATGGGTAAGAGGGTGAGACATCTGTAGCCAGATGTTGTTGTGTGTCTGATCCAGAGAGGAGATCGATTGAGTCCGTCAGCAGGTGGTGCTGTGCATGTGCAACATGGATGGTAAGCCTGGTGGAATCTCTAAGGTGTCTGCCAGCAGATGGTGCTGTGCATATGCAGCATGGATGGTGGAGCCTGGCAGAGTCTCCAAGATGTCCGGGATCAGCACATGTGGCGTCTCCTATCGGTCTTGTGACCACACAGTGCTGAGTCCTGGGTGGCTGCGGAGGCTTGTTAGAGGAAACTGACAACTCCCAGGGCAAGGGTGCCAGTGGGGTAATGTCACTGCTTTGGGAATTCTTCATCGTTGTCAGCTGTCACCAAGCTACCCAAAACCCAGAGTTGTGCAGTCACCTGACTGCTGGAAAGCAGATTTAAAAAAATCTACTCTTGACGAGAGCACAGCATTTTGGAAACTTGTCCTTGGGATTGAAATCTGTTATCCTCTGCTTCTTCCATTTGTCTTCCAGCATAATATTTCTTCACCGCAGCATTAAACCCCCCCCCCCTTTTTTTTTTTTTTTTTTTTCTCCTCTCCTATTCCCACCCCTCCATCCATCCCCTCTCACCTTCCCTCTAACACTATATGCTCTCGCTTTCTCAATTCTTTTGATTCTCTCTTCTTAGAAAACTGGGTGTCCAATTGAGCGTATGTTATGCCTGATAATCAACATTACTGGTACTTGAAGACATCTTTACTATCCCAGTTTCTAGAGGTTCCTACTCTCCAACGTGGCTTATAGCCACCTCCCAGATTTTCAATCAATCTACCTTTTAGGTTTACGCTTTTCAATGAGCCGGCTATTTCAATTTACGACACCACCTTCTTTACTTGCTTACAATATCTGACACCTATCTGATATTTTTGCACTTTGTATGATGTGTACAGACATATATTTCAAGGTATTGAAGTGATCAGTAGTTGGCAGGGCACCACTATGGCAATACAGACCAGTGGGTAAAAAAAGACCTGTTATAGCTGAAGAAACATCAATGTTCCATATGTATTCCACATATAGTCAGTGCAGATGTCTCCCTTTTGCAACCATCTCAGAAAATGCATGCAAAATCAATCCAAAATGGTAGTTGACAGTAATGTGCTATTTCCATAATGTACATCATGCAAGTGGCACATTAATTACATTAAAACCTGTGTATTCTGGTAAATGTATTTACACCCATACTTGTGTTGTATGGTATTTTGTTTGATTTCCATGTTTCTTGTCTTGACAGTGAGATGCACATGGTGGATACAGCAAGTTGGCATAAAATGAGAGGTTAGTACTTGGATTTCCTTTGTATACATAAAGAAATCCCCACTCATTGGATAACATTCACAGACTGCTCCCCATAGGGAGAGAGCAACTTGTAGAAATAACATGCGATCTATTTGTCCACATATACAGTAATTTTAACTATTGTTCAACATTTTTTATGATCCATAAATGTATATATAATTTTTTGTATTGTACAAAGAGACCCAGTCACCACGGCATGCCAATTAAATTAAGCATCTTAAAAACTCACATAATCATACACTATATTGCCAAAAGTATTGGGACTCCTGCCTTTACACGCGCATGAACTTTAATGGCATCCCAGTCTTAGTCCGTAGGGTTCAATATTGAGTTGGCCCACCCTTTGCAGCTATAACAGCTTCAACTCTTCTGGGAAGGCTGTCCACAAGGTTTAGGAGTGCGTCTATGAGAATGTTTGACCGTTCTTCCAGAAGTGCATTTGTGAGGTCAGGCACTGACGTCAGACGTGAGGGCTTGGCTTGCAGTCTCCGCTCTAATTCATCCCAAAGGTGTTCTGTTGGGTTGAGGTCAGGACTCTGTGCAGTCCAGTCAAGTTCCTCATTTCCAAACTCGATCCATATCTTTGTGGTCCTTGATTTGTGCACTGGTGTGCAGTCATGTTGGAACAGGAAGGGGCCATCCCCAAACTGTTCCCACAAAGTTAGGAACATGAAATTGTCCAAAATGTCTTGATATGCTGATGCCTTAAGAGTTCCCTTCAATGGAATTAAGGGGCTAAGCCTAACCCCTGAAAAGAAACCCCACACCATAATTCCCCCTCCACCACCTTTTACACTTGGCACAATGCAGTCAGGCAAGTACCGATCTCCTGGCAACCGCCAAACTAAGACATGTCCATCGGATTGCCAGACACAGAACTGTGATTCATCACTCCAGAGAACACATCTCCAATGCTTTAGAGTCCAGTGGCAGCGTGCTTTACACCACTGCATCCGACACTTTGCATTGCACTTGGTGTTGTAAGGCTTGGATGCAGCTGCTCAGCCATGGAAACCATTCCATTAAGCTCTCTACGCACTGTTATTGTGCTAATCTGAAGGACACATGAAGTTTGGAAGTATTTAGCCATTGATTCTGCAGACGGTTGGCGACTTCTGCGCACTGTGAGCTTCAGCATGTGCTGACCCTGCTTTGTCATTTTACGTGATCTACCACTTTGTGGCTGAGTTGCTGTTGTTCCCAGTTGCTTCCACTTTATCATAGTACCACTAACAGTTGACCATGGAATATTAAGTAGCCAGGAAATTTCACAGATTGCCACCAGTGCAATAAGTCTATCACGGTACCACGCTTGAATTCACTGAGCTCCTGAGAGCGACCCATTCTTTCACAAATGTTTGTAGGTGCTTGATTTTATACACCTATGGCCATGGAGGTGATTGGAACAATTGAATCCAATGATTTGGAGGGGTGTCCCAATACTTTTGGCAATATAGTGTATCTTTGGCTATATTTTTTTAATCCTTTGCCCCCACTGTGCTCAAAACATAACTTATTTTTCATTGCAATATGTTTATTGAATTTTTAACAGAAAAATGAGAGATGGTATAAGCTGTTCAATGTTCCATATTCATATTGCATAATAAAGATTTGATAAACAAAGCCAAATCCACTACATTCAGTGCTGTGGCATCAGGGGCGTATTAACCGCAAAGCAAACAAGGCGTTTTACTTGGGCTGTATTGTTCAAGAGAGGTGCTCCCCTGAAAGAAGGGACACAGATGGCAGCCGGCTGGAGACTGAGGATCGATCTGATGCCACTGGGTGTGAATGAGGCTCTGTTGGTTCTGCACGATGCTGGTCAGTTCCCCAGGTAGAGCACAGCCTGAACCAGGTTCTCCATCCCAGGGCCCGGCCAGCCTAACACCGATTTGCTCTGCACCGCTTGACTGGGGGGAGGAGGACTAGCAGAGCAGCATCAGCACCACTGGCAGGTTATATAATGGGTACGAGGAGAAGGATGCAGCCAGTATCACTACAATATACTGTATACAGGCATATAGATTGTCCGCTCTGGGAGTACAGAGAGCAGAGGGATGGAGCCAGCATCACTACGTTATGCTATATACAGACATATAGAGTGGGGGGGGCGCCAGATTTTAGTGTTGCCTAGGGCAGCACAAAACCTAAATACACCACTGCATAGCATTATTCATAAACACTAAAACAATGGGATGATCTGCCCAAAATAAGAAAAACAGGAAACCGTGTCTTTGAGGTTGAGAACTATTAAGCATGCAAAGGCACACGAAACCAGCAATTGGGATAAACAACAAAATATAGAGTGCTCAATAGATTCAGAAAAGAAAGAGAAAATTAAATAAAGAAAAAGGGGAAAGTGTGAGGGAGAAGGCTGGCATTGGAATGAGGGGGCTATGGAAAGGGAGGTTTGATGCACTGGGACTCCTGCTACCATCTTCACATGTTCCGGTGTAGGCCATTGTCATATTATGATAGTTGGGTGACGATGTGCAATCCACTGGTCCCATATTTTGCGGAACCTGTCATGATTGTTAGAGAGGATGCTGGTTAAGGATGCTGGTTAATTGCTCATTTCCAAAAAAGACGTCAATTTGGGATTCAGCCTCAGCGAAGGGGGTGAATTGTTTTTTCCATGACCCGGCAATAGTTTTTTTGGAGGCTAAAAGAATGTGCTAAAGTGAGTGAGCTTGAATTGTGTTTTTAGTGATGTCTGGGGGCTTCAATATAAGAGTGCCAGCAGGTGATCTCTGGGGAGTCAAGCCCCGAGTAACGTTTGTAGAAACGTGAATACCTTAGCCCAAAGCGACCTAGCATCGGGCAAGTCCCCCATGGACTGGCAGCCTCCAAAACAAAGGCCTAAATGTCTGGAAGGCCAAAGTCTGGACGGTACCAGATACCACCTGCTTAAAACCTTGTAGGCTGACTCGAGAGAGTAGTAACACGAATGGTACAGGTAGTGGTGGTGATCCACGTGGCCTGCCAGTCTTTTTCAGACTCTTTTGCACGAAGATCCTCCTCCCATTTTCTCACATAAGTGTGCATAGAAGAGGTAATTAAAAAGATTTTTGGCACAATGGGGACCAAGAATTTTCAAACAAATACAGCTTAGTATAGGCTTATGTTATTACTCTAACTAGAGATGTTTGTCTTAACTTGCATGGTATGGTGGCAGGGTCTCTTTAAGTAATTAATCTGCCTTTGCTGATCACATTTGCCAAAATTCATTTGCTAAACTATCAGAACAGGTGGGGTAAGGAGAATGTACCTATCTCAGTGTACTACCTGCTGCCATTTTGGCTCACTGGAGGCCCGTGCAGAATTACTGCATAAGTTCCAATCCACACTGGTTTGGAGAATACACAGGGCTGTATTACAGTAAATGGGCTTGTCCAGTCACATGTGCCTCTATACCTAGACATACTAGTGTGCAAAAGGTGGTAGTGAAGGTGTAAATAGAAGGGAAGTGTATGTTCCTTACACTCCATGCTCTAAAACAGACCTGTTAGTTTTCCCTGTATGGGTGTGGTACTGTATTTGTATTAATTGTAAAAATGTTTCTGGAAATATACATTATTTTATCCTTTATAACCTTGAAAACACCCACTGGGAGGCTCTGTATCTATAATCGGATACTCTGTTGAATAAATACATCCCATCTCCCTCCTTCTTCCTTCTTTTTTTTTCTTCTTACCATGTCTTTGAATTTTCTATAGGTGCTCAAATGATAGTAGCGATGAAGGCTGTGTCTCTGGGTTTCGATGTGGATCGTGGCATTGTACGTTGCATCCCGTCTCCTGTGGAGTTCATGGGATATGTCTACTTTGTTGGCACTGTCATCTTTGGGCCTTGGATCAGTTTTACCAGCTACCAGCAGGCCTTAAACGGACAAAAGTTGGTGAGGAACTTTTAAAGAGGGAAATTAGCATGCAGTTCCTGGGCATATTTAATTGGAACCTGTGTGGTTATGGGTGCTGCTATGGCTGATTGGTTCAATCTTAGGGCTGTTAGCCTTGTCCTGCCTTCACTTATCTGGAGAGTCATTGACCCAGAACATATATACAGCCAGTAAAGTCTGAAAGGTCTTAAGTACTAACCTGCATACCTGGTCAATAGAGTATTGCTCTTACATCCAAACAAAATGATAGCCATGCCCAAATTCATACTCAGACTGGTAGATTTATTATCATCAACTGTGCACAGGGTCAGTCAGTGATGATCATTATTTTGACAGCTTGATGCAATGTTTATGCTACTTTTATACCTATTTTATGTCATACATCTCATGACCGTTATCTCAATGTAATATGATTTCATTTAAGTTGACTTCCAGGCAGGTATAAAAAAACCATACGTTTAATGCATATGAGTGTTCGTTTATACAACATTGAAATGTTTAAATGCAAGCAATACAAGAATCTGTGTCAACCTCTTGGTATCTTTTATATGTACTGTATCTAAAGAGAGAGTACTGCTATGACTGAAATCTCTGTATTGAGCTGCACAGAAGAGGAGTAAGGAGTTACTGTTCTGATGTACAATGCATGTGTGTGTAAATTCCTGCTTGGGCTATTGAGCTCTATAAACAAGCTTTTATTTTTTTTAGAAATAAGCTGAAAAACACATGGAAGCTAATTGGTTTCTTTGCAGAGCTGCACCAGATTTTCTATTCTATAGTTTTAGTAAATCACACCCATAGTTTTTCTGATGTGAGTTCTAATATTTTCTATTATAGAACATGAGGTCCAGTGTTTGATGAGGAATATTTAGTTTTTCATGTCTGTTCACTCGGCAAAGTACCTTATTGCCCACAATGCACTGTGCAGGACCCTGTCCTCCAATTTCCACCTTCTGATATGTCCTGGTTCTGATTTTAATTGTGTTTTGGTATATAGACATTCCGCTGGTTTCGCCGTGTCCTGCGCAGTGTGATTCTGAGCATCTTCTGTCTCCTGATGTCTACTTGCGTGTCTCCGTACCTGTTCCCCTACTTCATCCCTATCTATGGAGACCGGCTGCTGAGGAAGTAAGGGTTTTTTTTTTTTTTTTTTGTCTCTCTTTAAAATGTTATTTGGTGTATATAGGAATATGTAATCTTCTCTACCCGTGTGGTGTATCTGGATCTCTTTGCTACTCTATGTTTCTGTCTGGAACTGTCTTATGTTCCCAGGATCAGCATTATTGTCTCTGTCCTGACTTTGCTTCCTCCCCCTCTGTCCTTTATCCTTCTTTCTACCTTCCTCCCCAATCTCATTCATCCTTCTTTTTTTTTATTTTTAATTGTTTATTTAGACTCATCACATTACAACCATATGACATTCCGTCAACAACCAGTTTAATAAGATAATACAATCTGATTCATATGCTATACCAGAATTGTATACAATTGTTACATAAGTTTCACAAATATTAGAAAGATAAAGGTGCATACCTTGCATAACATATCAACATTGCAATAGAATACCAAAACGCAAACATATCCTGCCTATATGCTACCTTGAGCTGGTAAAGGGAGTAATCAGGGATAGGAAAAACAAAATTGGAACAATGTGGGGTTATTTGAAATAGGAACAGAATTAAAGTGGCTGTAAAGGCTGAAAAATTTTTACCTTCATGAATTCTATGCATGAATGTAAAAAACCTTCAGTGTGCAGAACCTAACCCCCCCCCCCCCACGGCTCCCCTTAATATTTACCTGAGCATGATATCCCAATCAAGTGCTGTACATGAAAGCCCGACTCCTAGTCTGTGCCTCCTCATTGGCTGAGACACAGCAGTGGGAGCTATTAGCTGGGACAGTAGATGCACAGACGCTGCTCGGGAGTGAGCATATATACGAGTGCCCCCAGAGCAAGAAGCTTGCTTTGGGGGCACCCAACCGGGGGGAGGGGCCAGAAGCACCGGTGGGGGACCCGAGAAGAGGAGGATCGGGTCTGCTCTGTTCAAAACCATTGCATAGAGTAAATATGACATATTTGTTATTTTAAAGAAAACAAAACAACTTTATGATGACCAACTAATTGAATTATAGTGTAGCGTGAAAGGAGGAGCAGAAATGTCATATTGGAAGAAGAAAGCAAGAAAAAAGGAATGAGAACTAGGTTGTTAGGTGAATCCCATTAGGGAACAGGGAAGCACATATTCATCCCCAGAAAGGGAATCGGGGGGATGAAGAGGAAAAAAGAGAGGCAAGATAAGTCCACTAGGTATTGTCACACAAAACATGTCTATTGTGGAGGGTTATCTACCTGTGAGTAGGCATTTAGAACATGAAATACTGCCATGGTCTCAAACTGTGCCTGAGTTTCTGTTCTGAGTTGTTTAGGGTGGAGGTGAGATCCTCCATATTTAGAATTGAATTGACCTTGGAACACAAAGTTTTTAAGGGGGGGGGGGCTAAACTGTTTCCATAGAATTGGAACACAGGGCTTCGCTCTGTTCAGTAGATGAATGGTCAGGGAGGATTTAGACAGGTCTCTGCGCCATGTGTAGGAGACATGCTACTGATCTGTCACTCAATTCCACAGATGTTAGTAGTTTAATCGTATCCGAGTCTTTTTTCCAGAAGGGCTGGATCTTTGGGCATTCTCAGAAAATGTGTAACATGGTGCCCATCCATCCTTTCTGATCCTTCTTCATCTCTTCCTTCTCATTCTCTCCCATTCCATTATCTCTGACCCTTCCTTTTTCATTTAATCTTCTGTTATGTCCACCCTCTTTACTTTGTACTCTTGTACCATCTCTTTTGATTCTGCATCTTCTTCTGTTTTTTACTGCCATGCTGTCCTGATTTTTCTTTTTTCTCTTATGTGCTCTATCTATAAATCATGTCAAATCGGTAACAGAATCACTAAAATTCAACTTACATTATCCTATGTAGTCGGTCCCTCACTAATGATTACCAGCAACATTTCGACAAGCAATGGGTGACTATCACTAGTGATAACAGAAGCTGAATTTCAGAAGTTCTGCTTCAAGTAAAGTGCTGCAGGTCACATTATTTGCTGACCTACATTTATGATTGTATAAACAGATACAGTGCACTTGCTTAGAAAATGGGACTCATTATATGCAGAGTTTTCAAAGTAAAAAGTGTAATTAACTGTGAGAGGCTTGGCTGTCTGTTCTATTCTCTCTCTACATCTGCCATCTAATATCTAATTTTCAGAGTTCTCTTTCTTTTTCCTCCTCTTCTCACATGGATCCTTCAGCAAGAAACGCAAGGCCAGGTACACCACTCTGTCCTCTGTGAATCACTTGTGCCTCTCATCTCAAACTTCATATAGCTGTCTCTTCTTCCATCTTGTATCTAGTATTCCCAGTTTAGCAGGTGAAAATACACGTAAACTATACAATAAGATGTAGTTGACTTCAAGTCAGTAACATTAAAATGTTTCAGATGAACAGACAGAACTGTGGTTGTGCTAAAGATTTGGTTTACCGAGGACTTCCTGTCCATAATTTTGCATGTTACAGACAGTCTTTTATTAGCCTGAAATGGCTGATAACATAGTTCTAATCAAGTTGAACTTTATTTATAAAACTTTTGGTTGGTAGGTTTACTCTTGTTCTATTGACATGTTAGTAGTAGTTTTATAATTAATTTTGGCAATAATAGCCTGTTTATGGAGAGACCCACGATGTAACCACCCAGTTAAAAAAAAAAACTAGGTTGTAAAATAAATTCCTACGCTTGTGTGGGGAGTCCTTCTGCTCTCCACACATTCTAAAGTAAAGGGTAACTCCACTTTCATGGGGAAAAATAGAAAAAAATAAATATATAGCCTATTCAATTGCTGCACAGGTCATATTGTAATTGAATTTAAATAAAAAGTGCCTTTCCTTTTCAATCTGCAGCACTGTAAATGTACAAAATACACTATATTTTCTGTAAAATGTCATGCAGTATGGCTACTTGGAGGTGTTCCATATACAGATGGTGTACAGAATGCACCCTCCCCAGAAATGTAATGTCCTGCTTGTGTGATTGATTCACTGATTTTCCCAAAGGCTGCACTAAGATACAAATCAGATTTTTGGCGTCTCTTGCCACAAAAATGTTATTTTTGGTGAGATACTTCCAAAGGGAAATCATGTTGAAAGGGATGCATACACTGCCACTTTCCTCACTAGATCCCTGAAGGTGCAGCTGCTGATTGATAATTATAAAATCACTTCCATTCATTTTTGCTCTGAGACTAGGTTCACACTATTGTGACTCTGTAAGAAAAAAAAAAAAAAAAAAAAATAAAAAAAAAAAAAAAAAAAAAAAAAACCGCGTTTGCGTGGGCACGCCTGCCTATTAGTTTGAATGGGCTGCTTTGCCTGTGCTTCATACAACAAAAAGGTTCTGCACCATTTTTAAACCGCAGCGGGCAGGAAATCGCTTTTGAACCATGCGATTTCCTGGTGGCTCCAGCTCCTGCAAACGCAATGAACTTTTAGATGCCTGGGGGTGCTATGAAGAATGAATGGCTGCCCCACGCATTTTATCTGTAGGTGGTTGCTGGAGGAAGAACAGCTGCAATTCCCCCACCTACTATAGTGTGAAGCTAGTCTTAACATGGACACAAACAAACAGCTATTTCTTCATAATAACAAAAGATAGGAATCTGCAACAAAGTTTGCTAAAATCCCTGCAATGTACATAGATCACCCAGATTGGAATGTTGTAATTTTTCTTGACAAAGATGGAGTTACTCTTTAAAAAGGGATGAATAGCTGGATTGTATAGATGTGGACATGCACATATGTAAAACACAGGCTCTTCAGAGTTCAAGCAGGAGTTAGGTGCAATATATTTCTACATGATCAACTGTAGTCTGTGGACTGTGAATGGAAAGGCAGATGCTTGAAGGATAAACAAGATGGAATAGAACTAACAAAGTATACTTGGTTAGCAGTGTATAAAAATCTACCTCCTGCCCCCCCCTCCAGGTTTTCTCACTGTAAAGCTTGTTTTACACATTTTGCTTGAGTGTGATTGTGCATTCTTCTTTTAGACCAACAATTATGTAGTGCTAGAGCCTACCCAATCACATGGTTTAATTGATGTTCTGTTAAGCCAGTGTTTCTCAACTCCAGTCCTCATGGACCCCCAACAGGTCATGTTTTCAGGATTTCCATTATTTTGCACAGGTGATTTGATCAGTTTCACTGCCTTAGTAATTACCACAGCTGTTTCATCTGAGGGAAATCCTGAGAACATGACCTGTTGGGGGTCCATGAGTTGAGAAACACTGTGTTAAGCTAAGGTAAGCTTTTATACTGTAAAGGAGATTGTACAATCAGAATGTGTGGCAAGCATTAGACATTAAGCCGAGCACCAAGATGTAGATAGCAGTAATACAAACTCACTATTCACAATTTAATCTTTTATTGACTTGACTGTTCTGAAATAGTAAAGTTTAATATTAGATTCATAAAGTTAAAACAGAAATAAATTGCAGTTCTCTGTCTAAACCACTTATCACCTTTTTGTTATTTTAGAGCAGTTCCTTTGTTTTCTGTATAATCCTGGTCATAATTGCTAATGCCTTCCTTTTTAGGATTTATATTTTACTATTGTTAAAGGGGGTGTCTGCTAATTTTAATGTCATCCTGGAACTTTTTCTAAAGCTGTTACTTTTTTGTACTTTTCAGCCATAGTTTTTTTCCCTCTATCATTGGCTTTATCTCCTTTTTGCCCTTGAATATAACACAACGCTGCTTTCTGGATATATTAGAATCGCACATGAGGGGATTTACTAAAACTGATGCACTCAGAATCTGGTGCAGATGTGCATGGTAACCAATCAGCTTCTAACTTCAGCTTGTTCAATTAAGCTTTGGCAATAAAACCTGGAAGCTGATTGGTTTCTATACAGAACGGCACCAGATTTTGCATTCTCCAGTTTTATAAATCTCCCCCTGTAGATCCAAATAATATTACAAGGCTATAGCAATAAACAGCTCTACCTAAACAAACTAATCTAAATTTAAACCATGCAAAAGGAAGAAAGATTGATAAAGGAATGTATTTAGTTTTTTTTTTCTTTTTTTGGAGACGGTACAGAATCTTATACTCTATAGTTATCTAAAAGTTGGAAACCATTTAAGTTAAATTAACTCCATAATCCTGACTACATATGATATTTCTGTGTTTACCAGTTTCTGTATTCAGTAAAACTGTAAATCAAACAGCAGTGATAATGTGCAAAGAGTGGAGCACAGGAACCAGTCATGCTTTGGATTACTGCAGTCAGGTCTATTGCTCATTTCTTTTTTTTTTTTTTTCCCATAATAAATTTATTGGTATAACATAGAATACAATCAGACCGGAATGTGGTCTAACAGAGTCCTGTATACAGAGCACATGACAGAAAGATGCATAGTACATCATAACGTGAACAAAGGAGATCACGGTAACAGCAGTAACAAGAATCTATATAAGAAGTAACTGAAGAATATAATCCAGAACAGACAAGCAGAGATTGATCTCCCGTCAGGACCTCGCGAAAACTGCGGCTAATGCAGGGATGCATTATAGGCCACTGGCGGGAATTATTCCAGAAAACAGGAATAGAAGAGAAGAGAGAAGAAAAGAGAAGGGGAAAAAAATGGGGAGGAAAGAAAAAAGAGGAGACAAGAGTATGGAAGCATAAGATTAGGGGCAGGGATAGAAGTTGTGTCTGATGATAAAAGGTAGAGGTACAGGCATTCTCCTATCTCCTGTGAGTGTGTGCAAATTGGTCTGATAGGATTGTGTGTGTCTAGGGTGTTGCTCATTTCTGATTGGCTGTTCTTAGTAGCTGCCATTTTTCATGCCATCCTGTTTGTTCTTTGTGTTTGTTTTCACACTAGGATACTAAATGAGCTTTTTTGTTTTTACTTCTCTGCTCTACCTTTCGCTCATTTGTATTTCTGCTTCTCTATATGACAGGGGGATTGTCGTACGGTAAGTCTGACACTTCTGTTTAGGTTTTACTTATTGGTAAGAACATGACTTCCATCCAAACAGGCTAGTTGCCTAGCTGTATAAGCCTCTTTCTTAGTGGATAACCAGGAAAAATGTGAGCTGCCCCCATTTGCTTCTTGTTCTGGGTCAGTGACAGCCAGGCAGCTAGCATTTATAGAAGAAGGTGGGACATAAGCACTGTACACAGCAGGCTTCCTTTTACACAGTTACCCTTTTCTGACTAGAAGTCAGTAAAACCTGGAAGTTCAGGCCAATTTAATCAGTGTCCATATACGTCCATTCTCTCAGTTATGACTCTATACTAATGTGTCTACCTAAAATGATTTTTAACATTTTAATAGAATTTTATTATAACGAACATCAGATGCAAAAAAAAAAGAAGGAACATGGTACATCAATAACATGTGTTACAGCGATGGGAAATTACATAGGCTGCAACTAGGAACAATTCAAGGAGACTATTGGAGCAACAAAAAATGAATAAACAGCAAACATAGCACAGATCAAGCAACGTAGCACAATACACTGATATTGAATGCCTGGGAATAGAGTAATACAATGTCCGGTATGGGGCGGGGGAGGCCCAGCCCCAAGCATCTCCACTACGTCAGATCGCATGGGTAATAGGCGAAGAGAGCCATCTATACCATATTTTGTTGTACTTCGTGGGCATCCCCTGTGAAAATAAATAAGTTTCTTATACGAAACGGTAGAATTAAATTCCTACCTAAATCATTTTTAAATTTAATGTGACGCTAAACTCTGGTTTAAAAAGATATAATTCTATTTGAAGTATGTATTCCTAAAGCAGAACTTCATCTAAACAAGGTATACTTACCTTTCCTCCTGCCCACTCTTCTACTACTTTTTGATGTTGTTGTGGGTTTTTTTTTTTCTTTAACCACTTCAGCCATGGAAGGTTTTCCTCCCTTCCTGACCAGGCCATTTTTTGTTATTCAGCACTGCGCTATTTCAACTGGTAATTGCATGGTCAACCCCCCCCCCCCCCAATTTGGAAAGTAGACACCTCAAGGAATTTTCTGAGAGGCATGTTAATTATATATATTTTTATTTTTTTCATTTTTTCGTTTTCTTTCTTCATTTTTCAAAAACTTGTAGCAACAAATGAGATCTGCAAAAATACTCACCACCCCCCTTAGGAAATAGCTTGGCGTGTCTACTTTCCAAAAAAAGGTCATGGGGTGGGGGGGTTCTACTATCCTGGCATTTTTTTTTATTATTATTTATTTTGCTGTCCCTTTAATTTTTTTAAATTTTTTTTTTTTTTTTTTTTATCACTTTTATTGTTATCACAGGGAATGTATATATCTCCTGTGATAGCAATAGGCAGTGACAGGTACACTTTTCTGAGAAATCTGAGATCTATTAGACTCTAGATCTTTCCTCGGCCCTTAAAGCATCTGATCACACCAAGATCGGTGTGATCAGATGCTTTCCCAATTTATAAATGGCGCTGTTTATATCCGACGAAACCGAAATGATGATATGCTCATTGCTTCCGATTTTCTTAGACCATAGAGATGATTGGAGCCATTCTGGTCTCCAATCAGCTCTATGGTCAGATGGATTCTTGGGTTCTCCAAGGACAGGAGATTCAGAGAAAGCTGTGGAAGGCGGTGGGAGGGGGACGTGTGATAGTGTGCAGGCAGTCTAGCACTAACTGACCCTGATATTGCTAGTGGCAGTAATACAATGATCGGTGAAAAATTCTATATACTGACACTGTACTAATGACACTGGCTGGGTGACAGAGGTACTCAAAGGGTTAATTGGGTCAATCAAAGGATTATATGTGCTAAATCTAACTTGTGTGTGCAAAATGTAGTACTTTTACTCATAGTGTGGTGTTCTCCCGTCTTTCCCTGGACCGACAGAGGGGGCAGTGGGGGTAGCGCATGCATGCTCACACCAGAAATAGAAAGGAACATAAAGTTGCATTGCTTTGCCCAGAGCCGCCGCTTGTCCACACATTGCAGGCGGGCGATCAGCAAATAGTTGAAAAAAAAAATTATAAAAAAAAAGTTTTCTCTATTTTAATTATTACTTAAATACTTTCATTGTTACTATAGTAACAATGTACTACTCTGAGGGGGTGATCAGGAATTATTATTTTTTTTTTTTTTTTACCCTTTGCTTTGCAGGAGCAATAAAGATTATTGCTCCTGTGATGCAAAGCTTGCTTTGAACTGTTATAAATGGGTTAAGATCATGACAGTTTAAAATATTAGTGATCTGTGATTGGCTACAGCAAACCACATGGTACAGGGTGATGTGCCATTTGAGAGCTGTCCATTACAAAGCGCAGCACAACTTGCATATGTTCAGTGGGAAGCCAGCTGTGAAGCACCAGGAAGTCACAGCTGGTTTCCCACATTGAAGATGGCCGTGCCCGGGACCCAAAGACAAGTGAAAAACCGGCCTGGGTGAAGACAGCGCTGGTTCCCTGGGCTAGTAAGTGCAAATTTATTAGGAGTCAGCAGCTACAGTATTTGTAGCTGCTGACTTTTTTAATTTTCTTTTCCAGGGTGAAGTTCCTCTTAACTTCGAAAAAATACTTTCTATTGCACTTCTCCAAATCTCCTAATTCCTTTGAATTTTCTACTGTGATCTGACTCTGTTATGGGGTGGCTACATTTGTACTGCATGAATCCATTATATATAGGAGCGTAGCCCCCCCCCCCCCTTTTCTAACTCCCAAGATAGAGACTAGGGACTGGGATTTTTAGGGCGCATAATGCAGTGCACATGACAGCAACTAATTTGTACTGCTCATTCCAAACAAATGGAAGTGAGGGGGAGAGTGAGAGGTTCATAAACTCATGGAAGACATTACAAGGAGGCACAGTAACATCATAAGAAGCTATTTCATGAAAAATAAAGAAACGGGCCATTAAGCAGTGGATGTGTGTGGATTATTTTTGGAAAATACGGATATTGTTTATTATCACTTGTAAGGCCTTATTTGGTTTCATTAAATACTCTGCTTTTGGTTTATTTAGAAACTGTTAAATGGAAATAAAAAAAAAAAAAAAATTCTTTTAATGGTTATAATTATATCAACTTTTTAAGGCCCTGTACACGTGTTTCAAAGCATGATTCTACCTGTTGAATAGGGCTAGCCCATTGACTTGAATGGCCAGTCCTATGCGCTTTTGTCGCCCAAAAAAGAAGCTCCTGCTTGACAATCGTGGCAGAATCGCATCACATTTGGTATGCCATTAAAGGATGTCATCCAAATGCACTTTGTGCATTATGCAATGATTGCCACGCAATTTGGATTTGCAGGCAGAATCACAGCGATTTTTTCTATAATTCCAGATCCCAAAGTGTGAATGGAGCCTAAAACATTTTTTTTTTAAAATAATGTATATTTTTAAATAAAATTTAAATATATTTTACGCTTTAACAGCTAAAGCCTCTCCTCATTCCATCATCTGCTAGTTGTTAGACCAACCACCATTCATCTTTTTGGTTCTTAATGTCCATCCTTTGACCCAGCACTAATACCTGGTTCTCATACTATAATAACAAACTGTATGTTTTCAATTTTGTATTGTCCTACTGGCCAAATGTTGTGGCCATTTGTTAACTGCATTCTCGCATCAAAAAAAAAAAATAAAATAAAAAAGTGCGTGTATGTATATGTGTGTGTGTGTGTGTGTGTGTGTGTATATGTATGTGTATATATATATATATATATATATATAGTGTGTGTGTGTGTGTATAGAATATTTAATTTTTATTTTTTTTTTTTTTGTTCTGATTTTTACCTGAACAAGCCTGGTTGGCTGTCAGTGTGCTTAATGAGGCACATCAAGGGCTAGGCTTGTGGGTGTGTGTTATGAACAAAGACATGATTACTATGACTGGCTTTGTGGAATAAATTGTAAACTGCAGGATACAGGAACAAGTGGGAAGTGTGAGGATTAACAAACTGCAATTTACTGACCATTTTGTTCTCTCTCCAGGTGGCTACGTGCCTATGAGAACACCTCATCATTCCACTTCAGCAATTATTTTGTGGGTTTTCTATCAGAGGTGACGGCGGTTCTGTCTGGAGCTGGCTTCACTGAGGAAAAGGATCACGTTCATTGGTGAGAGTTTTTTTTTTCTATTATTATTATATCTTTATTAGTTTTGTAATACAAATCCACTTTATATCAAACATCAAAAATACAAAAAAAAATTTAATTGTCTTTTTCCATCGCCCTATTTACACCCCCCCCACCCCCATGCCCACCCACCTCCTTTCATTTACTTCTTGTTCTTCTAATGTTGTTCTATCTGGCTTTTATCCTTTTCTTTCTCTCCTATCATTCCCCTATTCTTATTCCTTTGCCATTTATTTTTTTTTTCCATTACACTACAACCACTTTTAGATATCTTTTTTGATTTTTTTTAAATTATACCATCCTTCCCTGTATTTTCTAAATTTTTCCATTTTATCCTCATCTATATAATATAGTTATTCCATATTGTGTATATATACTTGACTCTAACGATCCAATCTTTTTATTTTTGGGGGCTCTATTGTTTGCCAGTATTTGGGAATAAGACTTTTGGCTGCATTTAGAAGATGGAACAGTATTGCATTTTTATATATTGCTTCACCGAAAGCTCTGATTTGTAAAATAAACAAACCCACAGGTCTAACGGTATACTAATCTTCAGTATCTCTTGTATGTATTGAATTATCTCCCTCCAAAACTCCTGTATTTTAGGACAATCCCACTAAATATGTGCCATTGAACCCTGACTCCCACATCTCCTCCAACACCGGGGTGAGACCTCTGGCCGTCGCTTATGTTATTACGTTAGGTGTAATATACCATTTTGTCAGACATTTATATTTCATTTCAACTAAATTCATATTCACCGCCCCATGTATTAGTCTAAACATTTTTTTTTTTTTTTTTTTTTTTTTTTATAGCTCACTCAATTTTTTTCCAAGCTCCTTTTCCCACTTATCCAGAAACATTTGGGAAACCGGTTCAGTAAGGATTTTGTAAATCCTGGAGGTAACATATTTTTGTATTCTATTTGAGCTAAACAATTGCTCAAAAGGATACATTTCTTCCTTGGTGCTTAGTGGCTGTGGGAGCATTGCAACAAAATGTTTTATTTGATAGTACCAGGTGAGTGTTGCTTTCTGTGTATATCGAAACTTTTCTTTACTTTTGTCTATTGTCCATCTTCTTCATTTTTGGTTGCCATCTTCTGCTAAGTAACAAGTCTATTGCCCTCCTCCCCAACGCCATGTACTGACCTTGCATCCACCTGCCTACATGCTTATCATGCTTTAGTGCACCAAAAACAGAAATATGATCACAGACGGAAAAACTGGGAACATTGCATCCAAATGTTTTAATGATCTCTGGGCAGTGCAAGCCTGTCCAACTGGATCAAAGAACACAGTAAGAATGTAAGCCTAGACGTCACTGAAATTGTGGAAATGCATAAAACATATTGGAAATTGATCATATATCTAAATAAAATATACCAGCATGCCACTCCTCTGTTTTTCTATTTCATTTATGAACTAAAGTGTTGAATTTACTGTTGAGCAAATGTACTGATTCTAAGAACTGTTCTTTGCCTGTCCCAGGGACTTGGCTGTATCTCATCCGCTGAATGTAGAGATTCCTCGCTCCATGGTTGATGTGGTGACAAGCTGGAACATGCCTATGTCTCGCTGGCTACACACTTGTAAGTCTCTCAGAAGCATAAATGGACAGGGCCCCACTGGTCTCCCTGCCTAGAATTAGACACACAGTTCTCCTGTCACAGAGGTGCCATCCTGCCCGACATGTACTTCTGTTTTTGTCAATGTAACTTAAAATTGTCATATAGGGTGTAGTGCTACAATAGTAGTGGATGTACCTTTAGGGCTCTCTCACACAGGCGTTGCATTCTAAAGCAGCCCTAAAGAGTATTAATCGTCTCCCGCCCACCATATGAGGAAATAATGGGCGTGTTCCTGGGACACCGCAGATCACCGATCAGCAGAAAGAGCCGATGACTTCAGCTCTGTCTTGTGATCAGCTGTGTCCAATCACAGCTGATTGCATGTAAATAAGGAAATGCCGGTTATCGACATTTCTCTCCTCTCCGTGAGGAGAGCAGAGCCGGTAATCAGCATTCCTCAGAGGGGACATCTACACTGATCATCAGGGCACTGATGATCAGTGTAGCCCCATCAATGCCACCTGTCAGTGCACATCAATGCCACATATCAGTGCCCATCTGAGCTTCCTTTCAGTGCCGCCTATGAGTGCTGCCAATCAGTGCCACCTGTCAGTGCCAATCTGATCTTCCTTTCAGTGCTTCCTTTCAGTGCTTCCTTTCAGTGCTTCCTTTCATTTTTTTTTTTGTAAAATCACAAACATGTTATACCTACTGTGTGCAGTGGGTTTGCACAGAGAAGCCTGGATCCTCCTCTTCTCGGGTCCCCTGCAGGCTCTCCTGGCTTTCTGTTGAGTGCCCCCACAGCAAGCAGCTTTTCCATTCACACACGGAGCCGTGGTTTGGACCTGCCCACTCTTTCCTCATTGGCTGACTGGCTGTGATTGACAACAGCAGGAGCCAATGGCTCCCGTTTGCTATCTCAGCCAATGAGGGGGCAGAGACCTGGGCAGCCGAGGCTGTCATTCACATCGCTGGATTGCGATGAGACTCAGGTAAGTATTGAGGGGGCTGGGGGAGCTGCTGCACACAGAAGGTATTTTACCTTCATGCATAAAATTTACAACCACTTTAATCACTCCAGTGACAAGACCACCCCTCTTATTCCCCTTTCCCGATCCACTTTAAAAGTTCACCTTTCTGGTAACTAGAATGGTGAAATAGGCAGGTGAAAGCTTGACATTACCAGAAACTTCTGTTACCATGAAATTCAGGCAGCTTGAGATGCTGGAGAAGGCATCCAAAAGTACATTCAGGCACGGCTAGGTACCTGCATTGGTAGGCTGTAGTCTGCTTAGCAATAAGGTATATTTATTTATTACAAGTACTTATATAGCGCCGTCAATTTACACAGCGATTTACATATATATTGTACATTCGCATTAATCCCTAAGGGATCAAGGGGTGTACAATCTAATGTCCCTAACTTACATTCATACATACACATACTAGGGCCAATTTAGACAGGATCCAATTAACCTACCAGCATGTCTTTGGAGGGTGGGGGAGGAAACCGGAGTATCCGGAGGAAACCCACACAGACACAGGGAGAACATGCAAACTCCAAGCAGGTGCCGTGGTTGGAATTTGAACCAACGACCCTAGTACTGCCAGGCAGAAGTGCTAACAAGTTAGCCACTGTGCTGCCCATAGCTGCTGTGCTGCCCAGGTATACACAAGTTTACTTTAAAATACTTAGTTCAACTTATCAGTCCTTTCTGATCTTTTTTTTTTTTCAGATGTCTTTAAGAATGCCATGAAACTCGGAACTTTCCAAGCCATTATAGTGACGTATGCAGCAAGTGCTTTATTACATGTGAGTGACTCACATTGGTCATAGCAGAGAAATCAGGACAGCAGTACAGAGTATTTCAGGAGAGGGGAGTTTGTTAGCAGAAGCAACAGAGTCCTCCAGAGTTAGCTACAGAAGGACAAAGAATCCTTCAACAGCACAGAATATTTATGGAGGGAAGAATTAAGTAGTGGTAGGAGCAGAATTATCCAAAGTATTATGAGTGGAGAGTTAAAAGGGGGAAGGGGCAGAGAATTCTAGCAACCTAGCATATATAAAGCATATCTAAACCCCAAAACAAAAATGAGATATATCGCAGCTTACCAGTCCTTAGATGTGGTAGCTGCATTTGTTTTCTTTTTCAGGTTAAGGGCATTTTAAGCAAGAACAAAAAATATGCGTCCTTATCACTTTATGTGAACTGAAAAGAAAGCACAACCACCTTTAGTTTCTTGGTTAACCTACTAGTCCCATCAGACCATCAGGTAATAGAATTGAACAAAGGTAGACATATTTGAAGTCCAGCCTATTATGCACAAAATCAGAAAATGAAAATAAAAGGAAAAAAGCCTGAAAAAGAAAACTAATGAAGCCACTGCATCTAAGGACTGGTAAGCTTGTGTGTGTGTGTGTATATATATATATATATATATATATATATATATATATATATATATATATATATATATATATACACACACATAATATTTAGGTTTAGATATGCTTTAAGGAGTCAAGAATTAGATAGCAGAAGGTGCTGAGTATTTCAGGAGAGGAAGGATGTACAGCAGAAGGTGCAGAGTCAGTATAATAATCTGTTTGTGCTAGACTTTATCATGAAACAAACTCATAATTACAATTTGCTGTTTTCAGGGAATCCAATCTTACTATATGTACTATATTTATATCTACTTTTCAGGGACTTAGTTTTCATCTGGCAGCTGTGCTTTTATCTTTGGGATTCCTGACGTACGTGGAACACGGTGAGTCGATGCATAATTCTGATAGACAGTTGTGTAAACCCTGATACACATCCCCAAATTTAACTTGCTAATGGAGAAATACAGGGACTTCTGAAAATGCTAGTTGCCTGACTGTTTTACTAAGCTTTGGTGTCCAGTACTCACTGAATTCATGACTTGGAAGAATTATGTTAATGAGGATCTCTGATTTCAATTGCAAAAAGGAATGATAAATGCTGGGACCTGGTTATGTGTGTCTGTGTGTCTCTCTCTCCTCTCTCTCTTCCTCTCTCTCCCCCCTCTCTCTTCCTCTCTCGATCACCCCCTCTCCTTCTCTCTACCCCCTCTCCCCCCCCCCCCCTCTCTCTCTCTGTCTGTCCTCTCTCTTCTCTCTCCCTCCCCCCTCTCTCTCTTCCTTCTCGGTCTCTCTCTCCTTCTCGCTCTCCTCTCTCTCTCCTTCTCGCTATCTCGCTCGCCTCTCTCTCCTTATCTCTCCCTTATTGCGCTCTCTCTCTCCTTATCTCTCTCACAATTTACACAACATCAAACCTAGGATGACAGGTGCTCTTTAATCATTGAATATCCTGTTGTTTTGTTTCAGTACTGAGGAAAAAACTAGCAGATATCTTCAGTGCCTGCATCCTTTCCAAGAAATGTTCTCCTAACTGTTCCCACCGCAACAAGAAGGTGAGACTACATTATGCAGCTTGGCAACCACTCTGGTATGCCTTCTGTGAATTTGTTCATATTAGATCTATAGTGACACTTCTCCATATTCTTCCTTCTGCCTACAGAGCCTCCTTGTCTACCTAATAAACATTCTGTTTGGTGCTCTGGCCTTATTTCACCTGACGTACCTTGGCTCGCTGTTTGACACGGATTCTGAAGATGCCAGTGAGGAGGAGGTATACCTTCAGCAAAGTTTTTTTTTTTTCTTTTTTTTTTTTTTTTTTTCTTTACTGCTCAGTGATTTGCATATGTGAATGCTCTATAAAGGAGAACACACCTGATGGTCCTGCTAGAAACCCTGCCTGGATGTCACTTCCTTTTATAGGATGACAAATAAAACCTCACGGCCAAAGTTAAAAAAGCTATAAATGATAACAAAAGCGCTTTTAGAAAATATACAAATGAAGGAACACTACCATCATTTAATTGTTACAATGAATATAACAGAATTTGTAAAAAGGAAATCAAGGCCACAAAAATTCAAAACAAACAACAGATTGCAAAAGAGATTAACACAAACCCAAAGAAATTCTTCAAATATATTAATAGTAAAAAGGTCAGGTCTGAGCAGGTAGGCCCTTTATAAAGTAATCGGGAGTGTGTGACTGGGGACAAAGAGAAGGCAAATGTATTAAATACCTTCTTCAGCTCTGTGTATACAAAGGAGCATGGGGGAGCTCTTGTCCATAATGGGGGATGATATTGACACAGCCCCAAATGATGCACAATGGCTCAGAATTGATATGGTCCAGAAATATTTAGACAGAATAATTGAGTAATTAAGGCACCTGGACCGGATGGCATACACTCACAGATCCCAAAAGAATTGAGCTCTGTCATTTCAAAGCCATTGTTTCTAATTTTTAGGGACTCTAATGACTGGTATAGTACCACTGGATTGGCGTAATACCAACGTGGTGCTTATATTTAGAAAGGGATCAAAGTCTTTCCCAAGTAACTACAGACCTGTTAGTTTAACGCCTTTAGTTGGGAAGATACCAGAGAGTTTAATAAAGGACCACATAGATGAGTTTCTTTCTAGAAAATAAACATTTTATGGAAAAGTCAGCATGGTTTCATGAAAAACAGAAGTTGTCAGACAAATCTGTTGTCAGACAAAAACCTTAGAGAGAGAAGTAGCTGTGAATGTAGTATACTTGGATTTTGCAAAAGCGTTTGACACAGTTCCTCATACATGGCTAATGTGTAAAGTAAAGTGTACAGGCTTAGAAAAATCAGTTTGTAAGTAGATAGAAGATTGGCTAAAAGATCGTATTCAGAGAGTAGTGGTTAATGATTCATACTGAATGGTCTAGGATTGTTAGTGGTGTACCCCAAGGTTCAGTATTGGGACCTCTACTTTTTATTAGATATTTTTAAATGATATAGGGTCTGGGATTTAAGGTACCATTTCAGTCTTTGCAAATGACACCAAGCTGTGCAGTGGAATAATGTCCTTACAGGATGTCTCTGATTTTACAAGCTGACCTCAATGCACTGTGAAATTGGGCAACTATGTGGTAAATGAGGCTTAATGTTGATAAATGTAAAGTTATGCACTTGGGGGCTAAGAATATGCATGCATCATACATACTAGGGGGAGTACAACTGGGGGAATCAATGGTGGAGAAGGATCTGGGAGTTCTTGTAGATCACAAGCTTAATAATGGCATGCAATGCCAAGCTGCGGTTTCTAAAGCGAGCAAAATCATCTCTTGTATTAAAAGAGGTATAGACTCCAGAGAGAGAGATATCATATTACCCCGGTACAAATCATTAGTAATACCTCATCTGGAATATGCAGTTTGGTTTTGGGCACCAATTCACAAAAAGGATGTTGGGGAATTTTGAGAACATACAGAGAAGGGCAACCAAACTGATAAGAGGCATGGAGGAGCTCAGCTATGGAAAATAATAGAGGAACTGAATTTATTCTCTCTTGAGTAAAGGAGATTAAGGGGGGATATGATCAACATATAAATACAAGAGTGTTCCATATAGTGAACTTGGTGTAGAGTTATTCACTTTAAGGTCATCACAGAGGACAAGGGAGCACTCTTACATCTGGAGGAAAAGACATTATTTTTTTTTTTCTCCAAATATAGAAAGGCTTCCTCACAGTAAGAGCTGTGAAAATGTGGAAAAGACTCCCTCAAGAGTTGGTTCTGGCTAACTCAGTAGATTGTTTTAAAAGAGGCCTGGATTATTTCCTAGATAAACATATTATAACGGAATACTACTATTTATAGGTAAAGTTTCTCCAGAGAATATCCGATTGTCTCTTGGAGGATCAGGAAGTCATTCTCCCCCACTGGAGCAAATTGGATCATGTTCCTTTGGGGCTTTTTTTGCCTTCCTCTGGATCAACTGCGGGTATAGGATAGTGTATATGGAGGTTTTCTATTTATGTGTGTGGTTTGTGTGTGTTTATATTTTTTTGTTTTTGTTTTTTTTTGGTTGAACTGAATGGACTAGTGCCTTTTTTCAACCAGATTAACTATGTGAGCATTGGCAATTAAAAGCACAGTGAAGTGATATGCTGCAGCTGAGGACACACCCCCATCAGAAGGGCCAGGGACTCCCACACAACATTCCCTCACAACTTAAAGCAGTTGTAAAGCTTTGATTTCATTTTTTTTTTCCCCGTAAATTAACATAATGTTACTTACCTGCTATGTGCAATGGTATTGCACAGTATGGCCCAGAGCCTCCTCCTCTGGGGTCCTCCACTGGTGCTCTCAGCTTCTCCTCTTCTTGGTGCGCCACCATAGGGAGTTGCTTCCTATGGTGGTGCAACTGTGGGCTCGCTCCCAAGCCGGCTATATGTGCGTGTTGATACAAACAGCTCAGCCTGACCCCACCCCCCCTCACTAAATTTGATTGACAGCAACAGGAGTCCATGGCTCCTGTTGCTGTCTGTGAGAGAGAGGAGAGAGCCACTGGAGATGGGCATAGCATGATACAGAACTTGAGTAAATATTTTGGGGGGGGGGGTGTGGGTTATACTACTACTAGGACATTTTTTTACCCTAATGCAGGGAATTCATTACGGTAAAAATTTTTACCTTTAGAACCATTTTACATTTTTTTAGGATCACCTCGGAAGGGGAAAACATTTTACAGTTACAACCAGTTTCTGGAATTTCAGTTTTAAACTCTACATATGTTTGAAAAGGGTGGGAAGAGAGACACATTTTCTTATGGCATCAGATACCAGGCTGCGTATTAGTTGTTCTCCAGTTTCAAAGAAACAAGAAAATGTGTTTACAGCCAGTTGCACCAAAAGCTATTGATTCAAGTTTAGCATGGGCATAAGAGAGAAAATCTCTGGTCTTTGGATAAAAGTCTGTCCTAAGAGATACACTAGTGCTACCAAATTCGACCCCTACTTCTGAAAATACTATTTACTTTGCTGCTATATTAGTGTAGTTGCTTTAATACTTTCTAAATCACTGTCCACAAACAAGCATGTACATTAAAAATTTTGACCTTATTGGCTTCAAGCTGGTTCTTAACCAGTGGTTTCAAAAAGCATTGATGGGGCAGCCATTTATAGATATTTTTAGGAGGCCAGCAATGGCAGCCTCCACTTCTTAATCGTACAATGCAGGACATAAGATCTGTGATCGTACTGGGCTATACGCAGCTACCTTCAAATGATTGGAAACTGGCAAAAATAGCTGCAGGGTCATTGTCTATATAACCACTTCTAGTCCCAGCAAGCATCAATTTTTTTGTGTCCTTCGATTATAGATGTTGTCTGTCTGCTTTGAGAGAAGCAAATCTTTTTTTTCTTTTCCTTTTTGGTCAAGATTCTTCTAGCAACTCTATAACTGCCCTGTAGTCATGTGGTTCCCTTTTGCAGCTTATTGGTATAGTTGACTCCACTAAGCCTTGGGAGGCCTATTCAAATCCTGCTTTGAAGAAAAAGCATGGTCAGCCTGTAATGTTCCTACGGGAACTAGGTCCTACATGGGCATTCACCTTGGTCCATCACATAGTTAGCCGCAGGGTGCTGTACAGGTCAGCTGGTGTCCTTAAAGACCCCCCCCTTTGGGGGGAGGGGGTGGAGTGGTACGGCCACCAAGAGTAGGAAGCCAGAATGGGTCTTAGTTATGGCCCACAGAAAAAACAGGGAGCTTCTAAGGACTGCTATTGTGCTGTGTAAGTTTTGGTAACACTGATCTTACTCCGTAAGTGCACTTCATTTTCTTTATAATCCTGGCAGAGGACCACTTCAGCACTGTTCCTGTAAGTGAACGGCACAGTGATCTGAGAACAGTACCCTGGCTCCAACTGCTAAGAGTGCTTGACACAGATGGCATTGACTTTTCCTACCCTGCAGTGACTGTTGTAAATAGCCCACTGAGGACACTGTAACACCACATATGGCAGATCTGAGTCTCAAGGTCACTGGGTTAAGGGGCCCTAAAAGCTTACAGTTAGCTTGTGGGGAAGCTAGTGGGGGAATAGTCTCTCCCCAAAAGACCCTAAGTGTGAGTCTTCAGCTTACAAAGTTACATAGTTATTCTGGCTGAAAAAAGACAAAAGTTTATCCAGTTCAACCAAAGAAAAAAAAAAAGTTATAATCCTATACCCACAGTTGATCCAGAGGAAGGCAAAAAAACCCAGCAAAGCATGATCCAATTTGCTCCTGCTGGAAAAAAAAATTCCTTCCTGATCCCCCGAGAGGCAATTGGATATTCCCTGGATCAATTTTACCTATAAATTCAGTATCCAGTTATATTCTGTGTATCTAAGATACAATCCAGGCCTTTTTTGAAGCAATCCACTGAGCTGACTAGAACCAACTCTTGAGGGAGTCTATTCCACATTTTCACAGCTCTCACTGTGAAGAAACCTTTCTGTGTTTGAAGATTAAATTTCTTTTCCTCCAGATGTAAAGAGTGTCCCTTGTCCTCTGTGATGACCTCAGGGTGAATAGCTCTACACTGAGTTCACTATATGAACCACTGATGTATTTATACATGTTGATCATATCCCCCCTTAATCTCCTCTTCTCAAGAGAGAATACATTCAGTTCCTCTAATCTTTCCTAATAGCTGATCTCCTCCAAGCTTCCTTTAAGGCATCTGTTGTGTCATCATATCTGACGTTATGGGAAGGCTAGCAGCAAATATGGAGGCTACAGACTGCAGAAATTGCAAGTGGACTC